CCTTCTGCTTGACTCTCCGATTTGTCCATATCCATTCTGTAGTGTGGGGCCCAAAACTGAACACAGTACTCCAGATGTGCTGAATAGAGGGGAAGAATCACTTTTCTTGCCCTGCTGGCGACACTCCTACCAATGCAGTCCAGTATGCTGTTAGGTTTGGCAACAAGGACACAGTGTTGCCTCATATTCAGCTTATTGTCCACTGTAACCTCCAGGTCCTTTTCTGCAAAGCTGCTGCCCAACCAGTCAGCCCCCAGCCAGTCCTGGTACAAGGGATTGTTCCATCCTAAGTGCAGTACTTTGCACTTGTCCTTATTGAACCTCATCAGATTTCTTTTGGTCCAATCCCCCAATTTGTCTAGGTCTCTCTAAATCCTATCCCTATCCTCTACCATATCTACTATGCCCCCCAGCTTGGTGTCATCTACAGAGTTGCTGAGGGTACACTCTATGCCATCTTCTAGGTTGTTGATGAAGATACTGAACAAAACTGGCCCCAGGACTGACCCCCTGGAGCACTCCACTTGATACTGGCTGCCAACTAGAGATTGAACTATTGATTACTTCTAAGCCTGATGCCCCAGCCAGTTTTCTATCCATCTTACAGTCCATTCATCCAGCCCATACTTCCTTAGCTTGCCTGCGAGAATGCTGTGGGAGACCGTAGCAAAAATGTTGCTTAAATCAAGATGCACCAAATACACTGGTCTCCCTACATCCACAGAGCCAGTAATCTCATCACATAACACAATCCGGTTGGTCAGGCATGACTTGCCCTTGGTGAATTCATACTGACTTCCTAATCACCTTTTCTTCCAAGCGCTTACAAAACAAATGGATTCCTTGAGGACCTGCTTCATGATTTTTCCAGGGACTGGTGGGGCTGACCCTGGATCCTCCTTTTTCCCTTTCTTAAATACAGGCACTATGTTTGCCATTTTCCAATCATCCAGGACCTCTCCTGATCGTTAAGAGTTTTCAAAGATGCTAGAGGTGCACTGAAACATCGGCTTCATATTGGATCGGCACTGTTATAGGGAAAATTGACAGTATTGGAAATCAGCTTTTTTTTGCTTGATGTGGCCAATAATGCAACCGATAAATGCCCTGTGTGTGCACAGAGCCACAGTATGCACACAGCCAGGAATGCAGCCTGGCGGCTTAGGGAGCTGCATCTGGCTGGTAAGTCTATTGTGGGGGAAGGGCGGGGGGCAGATTGAGGCCCCTGCAGTGAGGGAGGGAGTAGGGCTGGGGCAAGTGCTGCTCAGCTGAGGCAGGGTGGGGGTGCAGGATGAAGCTGGGAGCAGTTCCTGTGGGGGGCACGGGAGGAGCCACATCCCAGACCCCCTGCGCCTGCAGATGGGCAGTTAGCGGCTCCGTCCCATGCCCTGTCCTGCCTCAGCTGAGCAGCACCTGCCCCTGCCCCACTGCAGGGGCCTTGATGTGCCCCCCCCCTGACTAGTTTATAACAGGCCACAAGATCCCCCCTCAGCCTTCTCTTGTGGAGGCTGAACAGGTTCAGGCCCCGTAGCCTCTCCTCACAGGGC